CCAAGGATATTTCTTCCATTGACTTTTTTTTTTTTTTTTCTGTAGAGAGAGTGGAAGGGAGGGAGGGAGGGAAAAAGACAGAGAAAGAGAAATATTGATGGGAGAGAGACACAGTGATTGGTTGCCTCCTGCATGTGCCCCGCCTGGGGCTGGAGATTGAACCTGCAACCCAGGTACGTGCACTTGACCAGGAATCAAACTCAAGACCCTTTGTGCACAGGACGATATTCTATCCACTGAGCCACACCAGCCAGGGCCATAAATACTATTTTTAATTGAAAAGCTTACTAGATGCCAAATAGTCAATCAGATAATTGAATTAATCTTCCCTTACTCTCTCAAACCCAAAGGTTTTATTTTCATTATCTTGTACCTTGCTGTTTTAGATGAAATTATTTAAATCTGTGAATAAATGTTAATATTGTCAATTGCATCTTTTTGTACCACCTATGTGTCCCTTTATTAATTGAAGCCACACAGGTATAGTTTTTAAACATTTTCTTTTCTAATGACAGAAACAGTACTTGTACTGTGTTAAAAACTTGGGAGATAAAAACACAAAGAAGAAAAAATCACCAAAAAATTTACTACCTAGAGATAACTACTATTAACATCCTAGTAACTTTCCTTTCAGTGTTTGTTCTGCATATATTTTAGGTTTTAAGAATGATTTTTTGTTTTCTTACAGTCATGGCACAGATTGAGAAATAAAAAAGATTTGAACAGTATTCTACCTTTAAGAGCTGCTCTCCTGAAAAGATGACTGGCCTCTATTTCTTAATAAATTCTTTGAGAAATAAAGAACAATAGTAATACCATAATGCATTTTGTTTACCTCCATCATAGTTTCTTTTCATTGTTCTGTTTTCATGTTTTATTTTTAAGAGGACATACTTATATAAAGATTGCATATTTTATTATGACATTTCCTAATAAAACCCTTTGATTTAAAGATGTATTTTTGAAAATGTTTACATTGATGATTAGTAATATTATGGCATAAATTTTCAGGTGATCAGATAAAATATTTTTTGGGGAATTATCTGAACAAATAAAAAGTTTTTGATATAACTTCAATTAATTGTACCACATGCTAATACTGAAGAGATTTGTGGAATTTTGGAAAGTATAATCTACAGTAGATAGTTTGTTGCCTGTCTATTCTAGTAAAGTGAAGATTCAAGTCAGTATTCAGTTACTTGAAGCAAAATGAAATCTTTTATTTCAATGAAATCACTGCAGAGGCATGAAATACTGGACAATTGCCTTAAGTCTTCACTTGACTCACCAGGATAGTGGCTTTGGGTGTGTCTGTATTAGCATTTCATTAGTACCTCAGATGCTTTTGATGTACTCTTGAGATTGCTTTAAATTTTTTGTAACAACAGTACATTTTGCACTGTAGTAATATGAGCTCCAACTCTGTATTGAATGGCAGTTACTGAATTGTTTTAAAAATTAATTCAGTGTAGACATTTTGAAAAGATTAATTCCCATGCTTTATGGTAGCTTAGTGCAATATGCACTTTAGCTTTACTTCCCATTTTTGTACTTTTATTTTCCCTGTGACGTGAAGCAAGAGGAACTGAAAGATTAAATTTGAAATGATAACCTATTGATCTTATCAGATTTTTTTCTGTGTGCAATTACAGGATTGTAATCTAAACTGGAATTTTTAGGCAGTAAGCCCCTACAAAATGTTTTAGGGTAAGACATAAAATTATAAATAAAAGCTTAATGTTTGTAAAGATATCTTTTTTAGTGTTTCTTTTCCACACAAAGAAGTAGTGGCAGCTGCTGCAAAAGCTACAGTGTTATTAAGATTGTTTGGGGTTATGTAAATATTTGTAAATTGGCAATGCCTGTACATTTAAATATGAAAAGTACTCTTGGAAACAGTTTAAACTTTTTCAAAAGGACTCTGTACAACTTCTTTTAGACCTGCTGTAGCACAGTTTGTACCTCTAATGTATTTGGGTATTTAACAAAAATTTTTTTTCCAGACCAGTCCAAATGCTAAGACTTCCTTTTCTTTGACTTGTAAAAGGTGCATATTTTCATTTTCTTTGTTAAGTTTAAAGTTTTGTATTATGTCAAAGGGAATAAAGTTTATATATGGAAATTGTTGATGTTTTGTGTGTATGTGTGTATACTTGTGTAAGTCTTTACTTTTGAGATGAGATTGAGGCTGTAGTTATCATCTAGAACTGAACTGGATCCAATTATTGTGCTTTTGATTATTGAGATTATACAGAGGGTCTTGGAATCAGGTTCATTCATTGTTAAGCCAACTAACCACATCAACACCCTATTTCTCTGGCATTATTGAGAATGAAGCTTTCCTCATAGATAAATTTTTTAGATTACTGATGTTTAACACTTCTGAAGCAATTAAGCTATATATATTCCTTTTCTTGGAAATTTTTCTAAAATGTATTATACACTGTGCAATTCTTTCAGAATCTTTTGATTTTAATTCTAGTGATGACTGGTTAATCATTATAAACAATAGTCACAACATAGTAATTCTGTGCAGCTCTCAGGGATGGGTAAGTATGTAGGGTGTTCTGCTTCTATAGTATTATAACATTTCCAAATATAGTTTCCCCCTCCATGAATTTATTGTGGTATGGACTCCTTACTGCCACTGTTTTCTCAGCTTTCAAAGACCCTACCCCTTGCCCTGCACACAGCTCATCTTACTGCTGCTTTTTAGCTGTTTCACTGAAAAATAGATCAAAGTTAATAAACTTACACTTAATTCAAAATCAGTAAGCTTAAGCCTAAGATTATGTACCATGTGACAGTCAAATATGTCAGATAAGTGGCCTGGTAATATATGAAAGAGCCTGGCCAGTGTGGCTCAGTGGTTGTGTCAGCCCATGCACCAAGAGGTCGCCCGTTTGATTCCTGGTCAGGACGCATGGCCAGGTTGTGGGCCCCATCCCCAATGTGGGGCATGCAGGAGGCGGCCACTCTATGTTCTCTCTCGTCGTTATTTCTATCTCTCCCTCTCCCTCTCCCTCCTTCCCTCTCTCTGTAACATTAATAAAGAAAAAAAATTTTTATATGAAAGTTTTTTAGCCTTTTAAATTATTTTCAATATGAATCATGTGAATAATACTTTTATTTTCTGTTTGTTTTTTTTTTCCATTGGAATTATTTTTATTATATTGGCCTGCCCATTTTTATATACTTGCATGTTGTTAAGAGTAGAAAGTTAAAAATGTCCAATCTATATTGTAATACTAAATTTTGGATTGATTTGAACTAGGAGCTTTGCAATTAAATTTTGGTGACTTTAGTGTTCCCAAGAAATTTTGAGTTAAATGGAAGGAATGTACAATGGCTACCTGTGGTTTTGATTAGTGTTTAACATATTCCCATAGCTGCTATTGAATTCTTTTTTTGTCCTAGGTGAACAGTCACTTGGGATTACTAATGGAAAAGAGAATGAATGTTGCTGCTATTCAACCTGGTTTAGTGAACCATGGACTCTGCTGTCTTCCCTTCTCATGCACACTAGCTGATGCTTCTGTACTATGTCTGCACTGTCTGCAGTTCTTTGCCCACAGACCTATTGCATGCACACAAACTAATGAAATGTGACTACGACCTAACTTACATTCCTCATATTTAACAACTCTGTGAAGTTTGCTGTAATTAAAAATAAATGTTAGCTGTTCTAGCCATAAAATCATCCTCATGAAAAGAAGAATATCTTTATGTATTGTAAAGCTATATCTTTACCTGTTGTTCATACTCAGCAGGTCTAGTCCTATTCTCTTAGTTCACAGCATTCATTAAGTGCCTACTGTGTGCTAAGTACTTTGCTAGCTTCTCGGCTTGTAAGAGATGGGGATGGTGGGACAAAGGTAAGTAACAAATTTACAAAGTCTACTAAGGGAAAGAGACACAAACATGATTTTATTTTATTTATTTATTTATTTGGTACGTGCCCCTAGCGGCAACCGAACCCAGGACTCTCTAGTCCGCTCCAACCGCTGAGCCAAACCGGCCAGGGCTACAAACATGATTTTAATATAGGATTGTAGGAATCTGGAAGAGGGTTCTTGGGGAATTCAGAAAGGTGGTGAGTAACCTGGTAAATAAAGGTGAGAGAAGCTTATCAGCAGAAGTAAGGGCACAGTGGTGTGACTTGATAAATGTTGGGAACGTATGACTCCTATGGAAGAGCCTACACAGATAAGGTGTGGGCTGTTGTGCAGTGTCTATCTTTCTGAGGTTAGGCTTTAGCAATTGAGCAGGGGGAAGCCATTGACGAATTTTAAGCATGGACATGACATGGTCCAATCAAAGTTCTGGGGATCTTTGGGTTGAGTTTCAGACAAAATTTAGCCTTTGGGCAATGTGGGGAAAACTATTTCTCTTTGCTGTTTAAGGTTAGTGGAGATAAAGATTCCCTGGCTGAACAATCCAGGGGCCACTGAGGAAGAAGATACACAGTTCACTGATTTCCAAAAGTAAGGAGAGCCAATGCTGTATAGTGGTTCAAAGCTGGGCTTTTAAAATGGGCCACCTAGCTTTGTTTCCCACTGGGTCACTTTAGTAGACCTGAGCAAGCTAGCTACCCAAGCTCTGTTGAGCCTCAGTTTTTCCAGCATTGCAGTGAAACCTTCCACACAGCGGAGTCGTGAGGACATCATGAAAGTGAGACCCTCAGCCGAGTGCCTGAATTAGTAAATCCTGTGCTCAGGAGTAGTTAATAGGTTGGGATAAAGGGGTCATCAAGCAGCTTGGAGCCAGGCACCCCTTGGAGTGGTGGGTGATCTGCAGTTCCGAAGGGCCTGCCAGGGATCTGCCTGAACCGGGCGGGGAGGACTCAGGGGAAGTTGGCAGACGTGCGGAGAAGCGGAGAATCTGAGTCCGGGCCCCAGAAGCTCGGTGGCGAAACTTCTTGACGCCTTCTATTTAAAGTCACGGGGCTCGCCCGTCCCCCGCCGGGAACCCGAGCCGCCCCGCCCGGGCCAGAGGCGCATTCAGAGGGAGAACACCAGGCGCGGCGCGGGCGGCTCCGGCTTCTGCTCCGGCCGGGAAAGACGCGATGGCGAGCAGCGACAGCAACCACGCCTTCGAGAGCGCCCTCGGCTCCGACGGGGACGAGGAGGCCACTCGAGGGCTGGAGACCGAGGAGGAGTCCGAAGGCGAGGAGGACGAGACAGCCACGGAGTCGGAGGAGGAGCCGGACGCCAGGTAGCGTGTGCGCCTCTCCCAGGCTGGCGCCGGAGCGCGCGGCGGCCTGGCGGCAGGTGCTTCGCAGCGCAGCTCCGCAGACCGTTCTCTCCTTCAGCGCCGGAGTTCATTCCCCTCGGGCTAAGTACTTTCTCTGGGGGCGCTGCCTTGCTAAGAACTTAAAGGTGAAGGTGCCTCCTGTCAGCTGGAGTGACAGGTCCGCCTGCAGCAGCGAAGTTCGTCCCTGCCGCCCCCCTTCCCCCTTCACTCCCTCCGCCTCCCAGCCCAGCTCCTTGTGACTTGCTACTCTTGTTTATTCCTGGAAATTCACTTTGGGTCCTGCTTAACTGCAGAATGTGCTGACACGCTGACTTTTGGCTCAAGGCATAGAAAAACAGTTTTGAAAGCCTGGGCCTGAGCTGGAGGAGAAGGGGTCTGTGGTGGGGCGGGATGGGCGTGGCAGAGGCTGCTCTGGAATCTTCAAAAGACTGGAGCGCTCTTGGATGGCTGGTATTGAGTTAGGTTGTTACAAGGCACTTTGTTTTGGTACAAAGGCCCATAAATTCTTTGGAGGAAAGAAGCATGAGTTTCAGTAACCCTAGTTCTATAAATCCCGCTTTTTTTTTTTTTTTTTTTGCATGTCCCAAATATCAAGGTTTCAATGAATGTGAATGTAATTAGGTAATAATATATAAAACGTATGGTTTGCCTCCACTTGGATCTTCCTCCTCCCTCCCTTCATGCAGGCCCTAAAATGAGATAAGTAGGAGTTATCTCCTCTCTATTTAGATTTACTTCTACTTTTATTTGTTCTCTGGGTTTTGGGGTTTGTTTTGTTGTTGTTTTTTACATGGGGTTTGGGTTTTTTTGTTTTTGTCTGTCAGTGGTGTCTCTTCCTATTTCTATTACTATCAATAGAAAGGCCTACTTTGTAGGTGGAAGATGTATGGGCAGGATTTCGGAATGCCCATCTTATCCAGAGTTAAAAGTGCTGCCTGACTGAAGCCAGCAGAGCTGAAGTTGAAATAGCCCTAGACTGGCATTGATGAGGGTGAATGGTCGGTCAGATAAGTTTGGAATATGGGTCACATATTTACCAATCAAATACCAAGTGGGAAGCAGGCAGTCTCTGTCCTGCAGGACTTTTGGGACAAGGTAGAGAACAATATGCAGAGTGTGACACTATGTACTAAATAAGTGAGAATGTGGAGAGGACAGACCAAGGGTTCTGGAAGGTCAGAAGAGAGTGTATAGATGTGTGGCTGCCTGGAGGAGAAGTGGGCATGACCTGGGTGCTGTACAGAATGGGCAGGAGATGCAGAGAGGAAAAGCAGAAGAGAAAGCACCGGTGGGAAATGGAACAAGGAATAGGGAATATTGAGCAGGGAGATCTGTCAATCCCAAATGTTATAACCTTTCCCCTTAATGGTGTCTGGGATCCTTATGTCCTTGCGCACACATAATTTACTCCCTCACCCCTGAGAATCTGAAAACTCTTTTCCTCTGAAATGTGAGCTGCTGATAGTGGTGACTCAAAGCACCACTTGAAACTCTGTGAATGTGTTGCTAGTTGGGAAGATTTGGAGTTGCATTGCCCTTTGACAAAGGTCAAAATCTTCAAGTAAAAATGTGATTTATCTGCAGTAAACAGCCTGCTCTGACTACAGATGGCCAGGTGGACACCAGGGCAAGGACCAGAATGAGTAGAATAGAGGGAAATGTGAGGGAATAGGTAGGTGGTGGTTGAGGCCTTGAAAACCATCATATTTTTAAAAATTTTGGATTCGATGACATTGGTAACAAGAAATTAGTAAACTGAACAGGATTTAGAAGACCAGACTAGTGTTATTGGAAAATTAGATTGACAGGTTGGAAAGCTGGGTTTGAGGGGCACTCAGATTAGAGAGTCAGTACGAGAGAGAGAAATAGGAGATGTCTAGGGTTTGGACCACTGTGGGGACAAGAGGAACAGGTATGGTAGCTGTAGCTAGAGGTAGGGAGATGTCAGTGGAGAGGAACTCCTAGGAGAACTGGGGGACCTCACATTTCTCCTACCTCAAATTGTTGTCAGAAACCAAAGCATTTTGTTGTGTGTGAGTTTATAAATGTAGCCTAAAGTTCTTACTTCTGAGACTAGAGATGAGAACTTGGCATATTCTCTAATCTATAGGAGGTAAGAATGATGTCCTCTTGGCTCTCCCACCAAAATTTTACAATTACAAGAAGGCTCATTTACTCTGTGCCAGTTTTGGTACTGTGTTTACAAATGCTTAATCGTTTTAAACACTTTCAGCAACACTATGAGGTGAACAGTCACAGATGAGGAAACCGAGGCTTTATATAATTTACTGAAGGTACAAGGCAAGTACATGTGAGAATAAAAATGTGAGCCTGGGTCTGTTTACTTCAAGCTCCCTGTAGACTTTCACTGCCTTCCTTCCTTACTGTAGGTGAAACTTGAATGACTCCAACTAATTTCTTCATTGAAAGGTTATTAGGGGAAAAGGAAAGACTTCATCTCTTTGAATACTAGTGGGAAATTTCCCCCTTCCTGAATGGAAAAGTTGTCTCCATTTTCTCAAAGGTCAGACCATTCTCAGAAGTTGAATTGCAAACAAATTTTTTTTTAAATCCTCACCTGAGGACATTTTTGCATTTATCTTCAGATAGAGGGGGAGGGAGAGAGGGGAGAAGGGAGAGAGAGAAACATAGATGTGAGAGAGACACATCAAGTGGTTGCCACCCACATGATCCCAACCAGGGCCAGAGACAAACTGCAACCAAGTTACGTGCCCTCAGCGGGAACCAAACCCGGGACTCTCTGGTCCACGGGCCAACTCTCTAACTGCTGAGCAAAACTGTCCAGGGCTGAATTTTTTTTAATTGAGAGACACATAAAAGTAATAAGTGGAAATAGCCTAAATAATAATAATAGAAAAATTAATTATTGCATCTATTTGGTGTGATATTATTAAGCCACTATTAAAATGCTATTTATGAAGATTTCTAACAATATGGAAAATGCATATATTGTATTTGAAAAAATATTGTATAAATTAGAATGATCTCACCATAAAAAATAAAATATGTATTACAAAAAGGTGTTAAAGGTTAATAAAGGTTAACATAATAAATAACATATTAAAGGTTATGGTAAACTTTATTAACCTTAAGGTTTAAAAGGTTATTAGTGGTTGTCTATGAGTCATGGGATAATAGTTGACTAAAGTTTTTTCTCTATATCAATTTGTATTTTTCAGTTTTTTTGTAACAAACAGATAATGCACTTTATTATCAGAAAATATAAATTTTATGTTTAAAAATTCAAAAGGCACAAAGTGTAATCTGCTTGTAAGTCTCTGTTTCGCCCTTTCAGGAATAATATATATTAAGTGTATCTATAGCCACCATTCTGAATCAAAGGGGAAAAACCCTTTAATTGTAAAAATGCTTTTCTAGTGCAGGGAAGCTCACCTTTACATATGCCAGTACTTACATTGGATCAGAGAAATCCTTTCTGATACATCATTCAGTAATATAAATGTGAAGCATGGCCTGAACAGCCCTGAGTGTGAATCCTATTAGCCATTCATTCTATCATGGGCAGAAAGAATGAATGAGGACTCCCTGTCCTCTCTGAGCCCCAGTTGTCTTATCTGTAAAATGGTAGTAATACTCCTAATTCATAAGGTTGTCATAGGATTAAACTCTGTGAATGTGTATAAGTATGATTGTTCTTTTTTTGTTTTTTAAATGTTTTATTGATTTTTAGATAGGAAGAGAGAGAGAAATAGAAACATCGATTGGCTTCCTCCTGCACACCCCCCCGCTGGGGATCAAGCCCACAACCCGGGCATGTACTCTGACTGGTAATCGAACTGGTGATCTCTTGGTGCATGGGGCAGTGCTCAACCCACTGAACCACATTGACTGGGCAGCATGCTTGTTCTTTAGTAGGTCCCAGTAGATTTTAGTTTTCTATATCCTTTCTAATGAATCATTGGCATCGAAGCGTTACCTTCTGCCCATCATTTGTCATTGAAGAAAAGGAGTGGTCTCAGTTTTTAATAAGTGTAATGATCCTGTTCCACTTTGGCTTTCCTGTATTCATTTATTCACTAAACATTCATGGAATGCCTACTAATTGCCAAGGACCATGCAAGGTGCTGTAGATTAAAAATTTACTAAGAATCCATTACTGTCCTCAGAGTGTTCACATTCTAGGTGGAGAAACACAAAAACATATAATGTTTTATATATGTTATTAATAATGTTTAATAATGTTATTAACTGTTATGAGATTTGAAGAAGTAAAAGTCTGTATGAAGCACATCAAAGTAGGGAGTAAGTGCTGGGATCCATCCTGCCTGGTAGGATTTGGGAAGCCTTCATCAGGGCCTTTGGAAAAGGGTCTTCAATCATAATGAAGTGCCCAGAAAACTCATAGTTTATGTATATCAGAAAAAGATTTTTGAGTTGTTAAAACTTCATATAAAAGTTGTATATAAAAAGCAGCTCTGTAAAACCCAGTGATTTTAGAGTTGGGCAAGGCTTTAGAAATATTTTTTTCCAACTCATTTTTTCACAGATTCTGAAATTGAGTGTTAGGGGACATTTATTCAAAATCATACAACTAATTAGTGATAGAATTAGGACTAGATCCAGGTGTCTGGATTGCAATCTAATGTTTATTTATTCACTCAACAACTATTGACTGAACTCCTGCTGTGTGCCAGGCACTTTCTAGACACAAAGGAAACAGCAGTGAACAAAATGAACAAAGTCCCTGCCCCCCTGGGAGTGACTTTCCAGTTTGGGGAGACAAGCAAAACAAATAGGTAATCTGTCAGGTGGCAATGAGTGATATGAGGGCAAATAAGCAGGATAAGTGGGGCTTATGCTGTTTTGGATAAAGTGATGAGGAAAGCCGCTCTGATGAGGTGACATTTGAGTAGAGACCGGAGGAATGAGTGTTCTAGGCAAAGGGAAGAGCTGGTGCAAGGGCACTGGGGCAGGAGTGT